AGAGAAGCTGGGCAGCTCAGCAAATGATGTTGCAATAATATGCTTCCATCTCACCTCAAATCCATCCTCCTCTCTCCAGGCAGAGTGGGCTTTTAAGATACACATCTGGCCAGGTCTCTCACTGTTCAAACCCTTCATCTGCTCCTCTTTGCTTTCAGGATAACATCCCACCCTCCTATCAAAGATTATGGAGCCCTGTGGGATCTGGTTCCCACTTGATTCTCCAACTTCCTCTTCCCCTATCTGTTGCCCTGCCTTCTCATCTGTTCCAGTGCTATTATGAAGCCACATTGTCTTCCTTTATTATCAAGCATACCACAGTTTATCTCACTTCAGATCCTTTGCACATTATATTTTCCTGGGGAGGGGTCCCCAGGTGGTAGAAAAACTGTTACAGCCAACTCCTCTGTGTGTCACTCAAGACACTTCAACAGCAGGCTGCAGATTTCTCTCCAACACTGTGCTCCCACTATGTAATGGATTTCTGTGTCTGCCTCCTTGACTCAACCCAAATGAACAGGAGCCACCTATCTCTGTATCTCTGCAATCACAGGCACAAAACAGGTGCTCTCTACATTTTTTTCAACCTGAGAGGCCATTCTAGGAGGGTCTCAGGACAGGGTTCTGTCCAGTATTCCATGCAGATGCTGAGAGGACTACAATGAAAACAATACTTCAGATGCCCAAATAGCTTCTCATTTTGCTTTGACTACCAACACTTGCACAATGCAATAGAATAATGCTCAAATACATTAATATCTTACCTGATCCTAGGGGGTCCTCTCTACTTTTAAAGCCTCAAACTTCCTCCCTCTCACAGATAAAAAAGGGAGCACAAATACATTCCCTTCCTTACTCTGTGGATCCATTCCTACAGGTAATCAAGACTCCGAGCTTCCCCTCCGACTTTCTGGCAGTGCTTCACCTCTCCCCACAGATGAGTGCAGGAACAATTCTGATGGACTTCAGACTCTCCCAACAGAGCCAATCCCTCCCCATCACATTGGACTGGACTTGCTACCCATACCATCAGCAGCCCCCTGAGAAATTTCACAGGGCAGAGTCTTCTTTGGAAACCAACCCTTTCCCTCCACCAACTCAGAGAACTTGTTCCAAATAGATGCCAGGACTCTTGGAGGAGCATGGTGACTCTAGGGTGCAGCCTCTGACCCTGGCCAAGCAAAGGCCTGAGCCACTCTTCCCCCACAAAGTGATTGGTGCAGGAGTGGGCATGTAAGCTGTACCCAGTCAATCAGCATAACTAAATCCCTTGCCCACTCTGGGGAGGGTCCTATAGTTGTTGCCAAGAGACGCTCAGCCCTGTTCTCAAGAAGCTTACAACTGGTAGGGGCAACAGGTTTTAATCTATCATTACACAAATATTTAATTTCAATACTGTTGCAATAAGAGCTATGAAGGAAAAGAATACTCCCCCTAGTTTTACTTGGTATTAAGATTTGGAAAAAAAAAAAACAAAAAAAAAAACACTGCCTGAAGAATTGTTATGGTCCTCTGTATAATAGTGGCTGCAGACATTTGCTCATTATGTTCAGCATGAACCCATGTAACAAATTCATCAAAGCGTTTTGCACTAGGGAGAAAAATTTATATTAGAGGAAGCACAGTAGTTTGGACTGAAACATAAAGAAAATTCAGCCAATTCTGCTGACCTTCTTTGATGGGGCACCTGGAAGCTGAAAAGTAAAGTGATATTCAGGAACAGTGACTACTACTTCTCTTCCTGGTGAATCCTGCCCCAAATCTCTTCTCTCTCTGATTCCCGATTCCACTGTGCCAGTGGGAATATATGCTCCCCAAGATGTCAAAACTAAAGGGAAATTGAAAAAAAAAATCTTTCTAGAGAAGGGAAAATAAGATTATAAAAAGTGTGTTTTGTACCCCCCAAGTTTCACTAAGAACTTCCTGACTTCCAGGCCCTGGTGTGCCCCACTCACCAGCCTGGCCAGCTTTCCTGGACCAAACTTCCTAGCACCTAAGCAGGGGATGAGGGCAGATAAACTAAATCAGAAAAGGGATCTGTTCCTCCTAGACTCAACCAACATGACCACCGTGGAGAAAGAAGGAAACAAAAACAAGAGCAAACTCTCTTAAAGAACAACCTGGCATCTATCACCATTAGCATTCAGCCCCTCTGTCCACAGGACTCAGGACCAAGCCTCTCACCTTCATTATCTCATCCATTTCCCAAGAAGCAGGAATTCTTTTTCTCACATTTCACAGATGGGGAAGCTGAGGCTAGGAGAGGTTATATTATTTGCCAAACTCACACAACTAGTAAAAGCCACTGACAAGATTCAGGCTCAGGCCATCAGGTGCCAGAGGCAGCATTTTTTGGCACCATAGGCCCTGCCTGGGGACAAGAGCATGCAGAAAATCTCATAGGAGATGAGAACAAAACTCGGAAAATTGCTAGCATGCAGGGAGGGGGCATGCAGCGAGGGGGGAAGGTGTGATTTCCTGCTACAGACGCCAGAGTAAAAGCCACCCCAGGAGTGCCTGTGCAGCCCTCCATAGTAAGGTCCAGCGGTTGCATTTATGCCCAAAGATGCCCCTGGTGCTTGGAGTGGAAGGAAGATTCCAGAGACAAGATTGGAAGCTTCTCGGCTTAGCAGTTCTAGGGCTGGACCCTCCAACAAGCCATTTTACACATACAGCAGTCAATGGGGGGGAGTGGACGTAGGGGGCTAAAATGCCCACAGCACAGGGTCCAAGTCGGCAGACTGCACTTTCTCCACGTCCAGGGTCCGCTAGTGCCGGCATCGGGGACTCAACCCCGGGTGCACAGAGCCCGGCACACACCACTGGAGAGGGATTCCTGCTGTTGAGGGTTGAGAGGAGGGTATAGAGTCCCCCGAACAGCACGACAGGGTTCAGGGGCCACCTGGCAAGGCCTGAATGCCGAGGCCTCTGTGAGCTTGGGTCGGGCCAGCTTCCCACTTCGGAGGTTGGGGAGGGCGTCGTGGGCCTCTGCGTTCCCAGGCCAAGCCGCCCTGGAGGCACGGACTAGCAGGACGCCGAGGTGGCGCGGGTCGCGGCCTCTCCCGCAGCAGCTGTCGGCGAGAACCAGGCAGGGAGGCGCCGCTGCTGACTGCACCTCATGAAACATTCACGCCCGGCTGCCGCGCTGCCATCTCCCGGCACCTTGCGCCCGAAACGGTCGCTCTGGAGCCCGTGGCCGTCCGCCGCCGTCCCTGAGAGGGTCAGGCCACAGCTCGACCTGCCCTGTGGTCCCATCCCAGAATCCCAGCAGCAAGCAGGCTCAGGCTGGGCACTTCGGGGTACCAGGAATAGGTTCGGCCAACTGGTTTCCCCCATGAGGCTTCGCGCACAGGGTTATCTGGCCACGGGGCAACGCTGGGGAGCTCTGTGGCCTGAGGGTGGGCAAAGGGCAGGCTCCCAGTTCCCTTGCGTCCAGCCCATCTCCCAGTGGCAGCCAGCCAGGAACAGGCCTGCGGGGCCACGGAGGTGGAGGCGTCACCGTTCGCAGGCCCGGAGCAGGATGGCCGCTGGGGGATGTGCAGGCATAGGGGTTGGACAAGGGGCCCCAGAAGTGTCTGTCCTGAGGGGTTGGTCTGCCCTTTCCTCACCAGCCCAGCCCCTGAGGAGAGAGAAGGAGGCAATCTCCCAAACAGGGCAGGTCGGGCGGTTGCCCCTCCCTAGCACCCCCTACTCCCAAACACAGAAACCCTGGGGTCTGTCCTCAAACCTCCCTGGCTGCCACGCTCTGGGCAGCGGACTCTCCCTGCCAACACGCAAGACCAGCTCCCTCCCGCAGGCTGAGCAGAAAGAAGAAAGGTCCAATCTCAAAACTCGACCACCAGCCCCTGTCTAAACGGAAGTAGGGCCAGCCCCTCACAAGTCAGGTGGGAAACTGGGCCCAGGGAGAGAAAGTGCGCCAGGTCCAGGCTGGGACCCGCTGCGGCTTGGTCCGCATGCGGCCGGGCGCCTCCACGGAGGTCCCAGGGC